TCCCCCCCCCCGAGCCACCTCAATGAGATGCAAACATGAAAGACAAGAGGAAGAAGAAGGACCGCACCTGGGCCGAGGCTGCCCGCCTGGTAGGTGCCGCGGTGGCAGCGGCAGCATTGTGTGTGTGTGTCTGTGTGTGAGTGTGTCTCTGTGAGTGTGTGAGTGTGTGAGTGAGTGTGTCTCGGTGAGTGTGAGTGTGTGTGTGTGTGTGTGTGTGTGTGTGTGTGTGTGTGTGCGTGCGCGCGGGGCGAGCGCGTCCCGCCGCCGCCGCCAGCCCGGCGCGCTGCCCGCCCGCCGCTTTGTTGCCGGCGGTCGGGGCCACTGTGAGGCGGGACGGGAGGGGGAGAGACAGAGAGAGAGCGTGTGCGCGAGTCTGGGGGAAAGAGTGTGCGAGGGACTCCAGAACGAGGGAGAGAGAGCCGGGGCGTGTGTGCGAGGGAGCGGGCAGGAGCGCGGGAGTGCCCGTGCGGGAGCGTCGGCAGGGTGCGGATGCGTGTGCCCGGCTCCGCCGGGCTGCGGGCTGGCGGTCCGGACAGCCCGCGGCTCTGCCGCCCGTCCCTGCCTGCCCGGAGAAGAAAAATACCTACGTCCCTTCTGCGGTGTGTGCGTGAGGAAATGCCTCTATTCTTCTTTCTGCATGTGTGTGTGTGTGTAAATACCCAGGGACCGTGTCTGTCTCTGCAAAGTTCGTGCATCAGATATCCCGAGGAAATCCCTCCTTTTAATCTAGAGAAAAGTGAAATAGCCGGGATTTGCCTTTCCATCCCTTTAGTGGGGACAGGACAGGGGTGAGGGGCGTTAGAGACAACTCTGACTTGGGATTTCGCTTCACCATCTCTACTTCCACCACGGAGCTGGGCGGTGTAACCCGCTTCTGGAAAGGCTCCGTGGCACTGGAGACTCGGTCCATTTCCACTTCATTAAGAAACTGTCTCCCTTACCCTACTGTATCTGTTCTCATGATTCTGTATTACTGTTTGCTAAGTGTAACAGAGTACATTGTTTATGTTGTTTTCCCCGTTTCGGAGTACGTCTGGGTTCTCTCTATTCGAGGAATTTTACAACAAATAGTTACGCACGGTACAGCACGTATGGTTGTACACGTCTGTGTGCGTGTCTTCTGCAAAGTTGGGTCTGGTTCTGCTCCAGCCGAGTGCGTAGAAAGATGACAAAGCTGGAAAGATAGGCTGCTGGCTATGTTGCTTTTTATTATCTACACAAACTTTATCTTTTATTCATCTCTGATACAGATTGAACTGTTTAAGTAACATGCCATTACTAGTGTTGCATCTGTTTCTGGTAGTGGGTAATGCTATCTTATTACTATTATTTGTTTAGTGTATTTGTGAAGCACTTTCCTTGTAAAAATGTTTTCACCTCATTATATGAATTCCTAGATAGGAAGTTCAGCTTCTCTCTCCTATGTAAATAATTATAAGGTATTAGACAGACGCTACCTATAGATGTCTCTGTAAGCTGTATCAAGGTACTCTCCTAGGCTTGGGCAGTGCTAAATTCTGATGTGGCTTGTTATACATTCCCCCAACATTTTGTAATAGTGCAGCATTAGTGAAGATGCTCTGATATTGTGTCCCTACTGTACTCTCTTATTTCTCGTGATTGTAACAGAAGTTTTACTGCAGTAAAATACTCACCTTTGCCAGAGTAGTTTTGGCAGCAGATGTTGCTACAATACTTGTTTCTCCGTGCTCTAAGCTGACGAATATGCATTCAGAAGTCTATAAAATACATCAAATTGCTATCCTAACTTTACTCTTTCAAGCTGCTGCTACAGTTACCATTGTAAGCTGTGTTTTGTTTGACGAATGTGCATAAAAGGAATTTATTGTGTATTGAGTAAAATTGCTGTTCCCATGTGGTCTAATACATGGAAAAGTTTAAAGCCTCTAGAGAACAAAGGCTGAGCTACTGCTGTGGAGAAGGGCTAAGAGTCTTATTTTCATGATATCCTATTGCTTCACATTTTCCCCCAGAAGAGTAATGATTTGCTTAAATCAAGTAGCATGTAAGATGATACACTGCTGTATATAAGTGGTGGAGATACACAAGGTCCACAGTGTGTGGTTTTGTCCAGCCTCCTGCTGTTGCCAAGCTCGGCAGAGCTTGTCCCAAATCTGTTGTGTGAATGACATGTGCTGCTGCTCAGACCAACTACAGTCTTGCATTAGTCTTTGCTACTTGTATACAGTCACAAATGTTTGCAAATCACTAAGAAAGATTGAAGCCGAAATTGCTGCTCCTTACGGTGTTTTATGTTAGGACCCTGATGGTTCATTATGACTTTGTTTTCTTGGGATACATCAATAAAGTATTACTGCAAAGTTTGATTAAATCAATTTCTTTCCACAGACAAGTAAACAATGAAATGATTGATACCTACTCACAAAAAACGACTCATTGACTTACCTAGATCAATATGTTGTAAAATTGTGTACTGCTGAATTATTTTTAGGAAAAAGAGGCTGAATTAATGCATAGGGCATTGTATGGATATTTACACTGTAGATTTTCTATAAAAGCCCTTACATTGCAACAATACTAGGCTTTGAAAGTCAAGTGCTAAAATGTATGAAATTACGCAGATAACATTGCTGGCATTGCTTTATCACTTTGTTTTTCATGTCCATATATTACAATGTGCACTTTAAATGATGTACTTGCATGCCAGTTTGCCAGCTATTATAAGTTCACTCACTAGAGCTGCAGAATTTTAATTATGTTTTCTTTGTTGGTTGTGAAGTGCCATACTTAATTTTTTGTACACCTTTCAAAGAGTGCTGAAGAAGATTTTCATTTTATGTTTCAATTGTACATACACAGCTATGATTAGCAGCACCCAGTAGCCTCCCAAATGCAAATGTTTCTATACTTGCAACATGCCTATGAGGTTAAGTATTTTGACCTCTGCTTTGCCCATGCAGAGTTGAGACATGGAAAGATTAAGTACCTTACTCAAAGCTGTTTAGGAAATCTGTGGGAGAGGTAGTTATGATACCAACAGTGTCTCTGTAGTAGTTCTGTTTCACAGTCGTAAAATCATCCTCCTTCTGTGGCTACACTTTTGCCTCATTCATTCTCTGTTACTACTTCTCTCACAGTAATTATGACAGAAATTGAATGGTCATGTCTCTATTCAATCTATATTGAAACTCATAATGTACTGTATAATAGTTATGGATAGAAAGGAACACAAGAACTGGACTTGAGCCTGGAGTTGTTTCACAGCTCTCTGTTTCCCATATTCACAATGAAAAAAGCAGAAGTGCTTCAGAAAAATATATTACATGACTGTCTTAAAACACATTGTAATGTGTAAACGCTGAGGCTCCAGACTGTCAGTGTTGTATTTACTCATTTTCAGTATTTGATTAAGGAGTCTTTGAAAACCTCCTGCAATGCAGTGTTTTTTCAAGCTGTTCTCTTAATTTTTAAAACATAAGCAGGAAAGGTCTCCCATTCTATTAATCTCTTACTGTAAATACCATGTATGTGATAGAGGCAGTAAAGCAGGAGCCACTGGCATGCCCTCTATCAGAACTTGCATTTTATGGAAGAAGTCTCCTGCAGAGAGTAGAATCTTTCTGTCTGTGACATGCTGCTTTTTTTCCTCATGCAAGTCTGCTTATCTTAGGGCAAGGCATAGCCCAGCTTACAGGCATTCCTGAGAAATGAACGCATGTGCAGGATCAATGGAATGGTGGCATACCACTAACAGTTCATGTTACAGAGCCCATTTTGTAGAACACACATTTTTATGGACAAAATTGCAACTTGTCTTTACAACCTGCCAAAGGGCATGTCTTTGATGTAGACCCGATATGTCAACTCATTTTGTACTTTGCAGCAGACTACAGCAGTGCTTATGTATGACCTGGGTATTATCTCCATGCCAGTTTTCTGCTTTTTGTGTCTGATAGACTGAGATAGAACACTTATAGAACACTTAAAAGAATGTGAACAAAAGAAAACCTTTCAAGGAAGGAGGAGAAACATCCTGTCTTTCCTTTGTCTCTTAGTTGATCCTCATTTGATGTAGCCGTATTGTTGTTTTCTGATCATACATGGAACTCATTAAAATTGTATAGAAAGGTTAAACACTTGAGTAGTTAAAGCAATTTGTAGTGATTCCTTTCAGATGAAAAATCTTCTGTTTAGCTTCACAAGGACTCTCAAGCTATTGCTGGAAGTCCTGAAATAGTGAATTCTGCCTCTTAAAAATTTAATGTCATAAAATTCTGCATAAAAACTATTGAAATGAAAAATACTGAGAACAAAACATGCCCAAGGATACTCTGCCACATAAAAACTGATGACAATTTTAAGTAGGCTGTAGCAATCCAACTTTTATCATTTGATTTCCAGACATGATCCATTGTTATTTGTAGGACTGCGAACCGAAGGCCTGAACAGAGTGAGTAGAGACTGGTCACTTGGGGAATGCAAAGCTCAGAAGCACAGACCTTTTGCCTATGAAGGGTGATAGTTTATGGTAACATTTGAAAATTTTTTTTTATTAATAGCTTGCCCTTATTATTGCCCTTTCCTGTAAGTGGTATTTTGAAGTATAGTTGAGTTCAGTCTCTGCCACAAGCTGACAGTAAAGCAGAAGAAAATCCATAGAACGAGAACAGTAGTCCTTGCTTGGTTATTTGTGTGCTGGTATATACCTCTCTAGTATTTTTGCTCTTTCTTCTCCAAATTTTGTTCTGAAACAAAGGTTTTCTTGTGTTACTGAGGACTTTTGTGCTTTCCAGTTCTATGGAGAGTCCTTGTGGTTCAGGTGACGTGCATATTGGGTGAGTAATATTCATATCTTAATTCATGTGTTTCTTGCAGTAGTCTTCTGACAGGATCTGGCTCTTAACTAAGAGCTGTTTGTTTCCTCTTGTAAACTTTAGGAAAAATATGCTAATTAATTAGGGAAACTGATGCTGGAAAAAACAATGAAAACCAGCCATTGGAATTGCTAGCTTGCATGCTACTGTTTAATGTGGCTGGCTGTCCAAAAGCTCATTGTTACTTCATCTGGTATGCTGAGATAATGTAGTTGAAACAGATCATGTTGCGG